AAACAGAACAGTCAGACCCCCACAGACCCCCCACTCTGCCACGGTGGGGCCATGGTCTGTCCCAGGGTCACAGGAGTCTCTTGGGCATCGGCTTTGTGGTGGGCTCCTCACTCATCCTAAAGTAGCTCCTCGGGGTACCCTGGATGTACCCAGGAATTTGATTCCCAGCTTCCTACACCCATCAGGGGCCTGGCCACCCAGGATTCTGGGGACTCTTAGGGTCCTCCAAGGCTGTGACTATGCATCCCAGGTGCCTCAGGGCTGGCACGCTTTCTCTAAATGCTCCAATGTGTGATTTGCTCCTCGCTTTTCTCCCACGGAGCAGCCAAGGGAGGAGCAGCAGAGATCTGCATCAGCAGGAGCATCCCCCACTAGGGAAGGACAGCTCAGCACAGACACAGAGTCCCGGCTACCCCGCTGGCACCTGGCACTGCAAACCCACATCTGATGGGGAGACCACTTGTGATGGGCGTGCTCTGCCCCCTGCCAGGCTGCTGCATCCCGAGGGGCCCTGTCAGCCCTTCATCACTGCTGGAAAAGCTGCTGGAGCTGGGACAGTGGGCAGGGAGAGCACCCCAGAGGATGGGATAGGGGCTGCTGGGGCAGCTGTGGAGCTACCCAGCCCCTGGCACTGGTACTCGGCTTATCCCTGTCCCGAGATCTGTCCAAGGCAGCAGGAACTCACCAAAAGCTCCTGCCTTTGCCGCTGCCTTCGCTGCTGCTGCCGCCGCTGCCGGTCCTCCGACTGCCGGGATGGCGGGAGAGAGTCAGGGACGTGGGATAAGGGAAGGAGACCCTCCCCAAACCCCAGGACAGAGCCCTCTCATCGCCTCACCTCCAACTCCTGGGATGCCACCGATGCCGACACCGGGTGCAACTCCCGGGATGCCGCCAACGCCGGGCAAGACGCCGGCTCCTGCCGCGGAGACAGCGCGGTCAGCGGGGACACCAGCATCCCCGGAGCTGGCAGGGAGCGAGGGAGAGAGGGAGCAGCTCCCTGCTGGGGAATGGGTGCCACAGAGGGCGACTCACCAAGTTTGGCTGCTGCCTTCGCCGCCGCCGCCTGTGCTCCGACCCCTGTGGAAGGACGCGGGCGCTGAGCCACCGCGGTCCTGAGCCCATTCCCACCTCAGCTCCCCCACCCCGCAGGGACCCTGGGGACAGAGCACTCCTGCCAGCATCTGTCCCCCTCTCGTGTGGGAGGTGCTGCTCCCCGCAGAAGCCGGGCAGTGCCCAGCTCCCGTCCTGGCAAGGTGGCACGGTGTGCGCTGCAAGCCGTGCCCGTGCCAGTTCCCACCCTGGCGCTGCGGGGTCGGAGCGTACCTGTCCCGGTGGGGTATCCTGCCTTTCCTGCCAGGAGGCCGGCTCCTATCCCGCCGGGCCTGAGGCCTGCAATCACAACACAGCGGCAGAGCCAGGTCAGGCACTGGCCAGGGGAAGGACAAGAAGCCAGACAGAGCAGCTCCCTTGGATCTCCTGGCCCTGGCAGCAGAGCGTGCGAGGGGATGCGAAAGCCAGCTCCTCCCCACTTGAAATCCCAGTTCAAACATCTCTGTCTGGAGTGGCTCAGGATGTAGTCTATGGATTAACAGCTCCCAGGAATGCCAGGAGAGTTGAGTTCCTAGGCTGGCCCATAGCCACCATGGGCAAGGCATGAGGTCCCCAGTGGACCACCTCACCCCCAGGAGCAGGATATTCCTCACACGGCCCTGAGAGTCGGTGGCCACGAGGTCATGGTGGCAGCCAGGGGAGCCACAAGGAATGAGGACACAAGCACTCACCATGGGGCAGCTTACCATTGGTGTAGGGTAGTCCATAGCCACCTGGGGACGAGAGGAGGGGAAAGGAGAGGAGAGAAGGAGGAGTTAGCACCTGGCTACTGCCGGCCGTCCCCTCTGCCCCACAGCACGGCCCCGCTCTGTCAGGGCCCTGCAGCACCGGCCCGAGGGGCTCCATCCATTGTGGCAGTGAATCCTCCAGGATACAAACCCCCGTGCTGGACCTGGGCCAGGAGATGCTGTTCTCCCTCACCTTGGAAGCAGTGACTGAAAGAGCCGCCCCTCTGAGCCCAGGCCGAGGGCTGTGGCGCCTGAAGCTGTTCTGCAGGAGCCTCCCAAGACCCCGCTCCAGCGAGGGGTCCCCCAGGAGCCCCGTGGCAAGAGTTGTACCCAGCTGGCTGCACTCTGGCCAGCTCCGAAGGAAAGGTTTTAATTGGAATCAGGACTTGGGAGCCTTGGCTGAAACGTGACCTCGTTAGGAGTGAAGGGACAGGGAGGGATTATGAGCTGGGATGTGGTGGCCAGGGAAATGTCTCCTTGCGAAAGAGCCGGATCCCAGCCCCTGGAATGGCGGGGATGCCCCTGACTCAGCAGGGACCGTGGGCTTGGCAGCCAGCAGTTCCCAGCTCCCATCCCTGCTGGCAGCAGCCCGAGGCCATGGGCTGCCACATTCTCGGGGAGGACACCTCGAACTGCACGCAGGGTGGGGGCCATGGGCAGGGATGTGGCTGCCTGCAGCCAGGATGGAATGATCATGGCGCAGCATCTCCTTGAGCACTGGACACCATCCCCTCCCAGCAGCCAGCATGTGGGGACCAGATTTCCCTCCATCCTGCCAGGCAATCCCATGGTCTCCCACACCAGCACGGCAGTGCTGGCAGTTCACAGTGAGCTGTGCCTGGTGTCCCCCACCTTGAGGGCCACCCTTGCCCATCCAGGGCTACGTTATCAGCACTTTGCTCACCCTAAAGCTGGGAAAGGGGTGACACACATGGAGGTGACTCCAAGGGTCAGAAGTCCAAGCCTGACATCTCCAAGGGTTTTGCTGGGTCCAAATCCAGCTCCCCACCACTCCCAGCTGGATGGGAGTGCAGCCCCTGCCCTGGGGCTGTGTCCGTGGGAATGTCACCAGCACCGCCAGCAGGCTCAGGCCGATGCACACAATGGAAGGGCTCTGTACAAACCAATGTCACCCAAGCACAGCTGGACGCTGGGGAGTGGTCCCCATCCCTAGGGCATCAATGAGACCCTGACCTCAGCCACAGCTTCAGACTGAGCCTCGAAGGAGGTGGGTGACCCCAGGGCCACCTCCTGAGCGGGGACAGTTCAGGAGCAAGTAATCTAAAGAGATTATTTCCCACTGAAAATGTTGTTTGTCCCACTGTCCCCTCATCCCCTCTCAACCTGGACCTACTGCAGCAGGGGCAGTGCAGGGGACAGCCTACGTGTGGCAGCCCCAGATGCACCTACAGCATCAAGGCAAGAGCCTCCACAGCCAGCAGCACAGTCTGTCCTTGCACTGCCAGCCCTGAGCCCTCAGAGCTGACAAAGTGGCATCTCCCAGCACCCCAGGAAGGTCTGGAGACACCCCCACTGTCCTGGTCTCTATCTAAGGCCAGGATCTAGGCAGGGTCCACCGGCAGCAGGGCTGAGTCTCCTTAAGGATCATAACTGCTGGGCTGCAGGAAACCAGAGTGGGCCAGGGATCCCTACTGCCGCTGCTGCTTGTGGCCATGGGCCCTGCTGGGGGGAAGCCAGCACAGCTGCTGGGGCTGGAGCTGGGCTGGGGTGTGCTGCCTGGGGAGGGCTCCTCTCACCGAGGCTCTCCTGCCTCCAGCAACTTGTGTGGGTGCATGGGGAAATGCCTCCGATGCACCCCCCAGCACCCCAGGGGTGAGGGCCCTGCCTGGATGGGGCTGCCCTCCTCCTCAGGATGCACTGGGGAGCATCAGGTGTCAACATGGCCCCTGGAGGGCACAGGACCTGCCACTGTCCCTCCTTGGGCATGGCTGCCAGGGACAGGGACTGGCATCTGGCACAGGACTGGGAGGGGACTGTGCCAGAGCAGCCCGGGCTGGGAAAGGGGTGCTGAGCTCCCCCAGGCTGACCTGGGCTGGGGCTGAGCCCCATCTGGGTGGGCAGTGGGGACAGAGATCTGCCTGGAGCCCCCAGGTGGCCTCAGGACACCCAACAGAAAGCAGACTGTCCCAGCAGCAGGTGGCAGGGACACCCCAGGGTGTCCCCAGAACGTGACCCTTCCTACCTTAAACAGCCGGAGAGGGGCACGGCATTGTCCACGTGAGCCGGGGGCAAGACCACAGGCAGAACCCCAGGAGCTGCCCCTGGGGTGCCACAGGCAGGGCACAGCAGAGCCCCTGGCTCTGTCCTGCTGTCCCAGTGCCAGCACAAGACACTGCCAGGTCCAGGGGACCCGTGGGCACCGTGCCTCAGCCCCGGGGAGCGGCGGGTCCTTCTCCTGGCACTGCAGGGGATCCTTCACCCACAGTGAAGCTGCTCTGCTGGCTGTGGAGCTTACCTGGCAGCTTAGGAGCTTTGATGGGATAACCCAGAGGGACACCGGGCTGCTGACCTCCAAAACCTCCCAGTCCTGCAAACCAACAGCAGACTCTCACCTGGAGCCCGCGCCACAGCTGCCACCAGTGCCGGAGGGAGGGGGGTGCCCCAGGGCACCCCGGCAGAGGAGAGTGGGGGGCTTGGGAAGCCCTGAGGTGTCTTCTGGTATGGGGAGACCATGGCCATGAGGAAGAGGCTTGGGAAGGAAGAGAAGAAACAGGCAAGAGAGATGGGACACTCACCAGGGATTCCTCCGAAGGCTCCAACTCCTAAAACGAAACACAAAGACACCTGTGTGAGCCCTGGGCTGCTCCTGGAGGCCCAAATTACCCTAAGTGGATTCAGCTTTAGGTTGGCTTCACTGCCAAGTGCCCTGTAGGGCTGTGACCCCAAAAGCTGGGCTGGGGTACCAAGCTGCAGCCCAGTGAGAACCCCCAGTGTTCCAAGGCGACTGAGGGGACCTACCTGGGGCTTTAGGCTTGACTCCAGCTCCAGTGGGGACTCCAGGCAGCACTCCCACTCCAGGGAAGCGAACACCTGGAGCAGAGACCAGAGGGGTGAGCTGGGGCCTCACTGGGGATGTCACTGCTGCCCAAGACCCCCACACCCAGCTTCCAAATCCCTGTCACCCATGGCACCCTCACCCTCGAGGGCTTGCTGGGAGTACCCTGTGCCAGCTGCCCAGGCCTGGAGCTGCCTGTGGAACAGACTGGGAGCCTGCAGGGAGCATTCCAGAGGGGTCCCAGTGGTTACAGCAAGGCACAGCCAGGCCTGGGCAGTGCTCTCTGCCCTGCTGATGCTCGGTGGCCTGGGGCCAGACAGGGCTCTCCAGCCCTTCAGGGCAGCAGCCAGTCTTGTGGCCTTGCGGTGCTTCGGGTTGGATTTTTGGGTTTTGAGTTTCATTTTGGTTCGGGGTTCTTTTTCCCCCTCCTACAAATGTCTTTCATTATAACTCGAGCATTTTCAGACATGGAAAAGACATTCCTGACCAGCAACATGCTTCGGACAGTGTCGAAACATCTTGTTTTCACAAGTTTTCCTCCCCCAAATTACTTTGCGCTGAGGAATTCCTCTCTCCCGCCACCTCCTCCCCCTCCTTCCCCTGCGCCAGCCCTGGTGGCTGTGCCAGCTCCTCTCCCAGTGCTGGTGCTGCCTGCTCCCGCCAAGCTTGGCACAGGACAGAGGTGCCGGGTCCCCCATGCCTTTGGCACGGTGGAAATGTCACTGCAACCTCAGCCAAGGGGTTTGGAAGCTGTGGGGAGCAGCAGGACGCAGGCAGGCGGCAGGGCAGGGTGCTCTCCCCACGGGGGTGCTGACACTGGGTGGGGACCACATGGGAGGTTGGGGGCATCCCCTCGGAGCTGGGGTGCTGCTGGCAGGATTGGGGATCCCCTCGGAGCTGGGGTGCTGCTGGCAGGATTGGGGATCCCCTCGGAGCTGGGTGCTGCTGGCAGGATTTGGGATCTCCTCAGAGCTGGGTGCTGCTGGCAGGATTGGGACCCCCTCAGAGTTGAGGTGCTGATGGTGGGGTGGGCACCCCCAGCTCACCTGCTCCGGGGAGTACACCGCCTGGAAAAGCACCAGGAATCCCAGCACCTGCAGAGAAAAGAAATTCAGGGATGTGGGGCCCGGATGGAGTCGCTCCCCGCCCCGGCCCCGACGCCGGGGCCGTCACCTACCTGGAATTTTAGGGGGTTTGCCCGCCGCGCCCAGGCCGGGCTGCACCGCGCCCGGTACCGCGGCACCTGCGGGCAGCAGAGAGCCCTGAGCCCTGGCCCGGCTCCTGCCCACCCCGGGAGCTCTGCCCCAGGCTCGGCTCTGCTGGGAGCGAGGGGTATTTCCTACCTGTGGAGACCCCGAGGCCACCGGGACCACCAATTCCACCCACGCCTCCAATGCCAGCACCTGGGGGCATTGGGAAGAGGGGTGTACCTGTGGCTGGCCGGAACGGTGCCAGGGAAGGGACAAGCTCAGGATGGCCCTTGGGGGGTGAAGGGGGTCCCCTGAGGATGGGTCCCCCACACTGGGCACAAGGACCGGGCAGGGTGCTCCCGGGGCTCGGGTTTGGCCAATTCCCTGTGCCTGGCACCCTCCGAGTCGCTGGGGAGCCCAGTGAGAGCATCAGCTCCTGCCTCCGGGGGAAATCTGTCCTGGCCCAGACTCCCCGGGGACACCAGGAGTCCCTGGGGGCCTTGCCCAGACCCCCAGCACTCACCAGCTTTTGCAGCAGCCTTGAGCGCCGCGGCCGAGGCGGCTCCCGGGAACACCCCCCCGGGGAAGGCGGCTCCGGGGAACAGACCCCCAGCACCTGTGGGGACAACAGTCAGCATCAGCACCCTAAAAAGCAGCTGCAGAGAGGGTGTCCTGCCCTGGCGCTGGGCACAGGGGCAGTGAGCTGTGGGGGCTGCGTGGCAGTGCCAGGGCTGGCGTTAGGCTGGGCAAGGTGGCATTAGCAGGCACTGCCCTGTCCTGCATCCCCCAAATTCGTGCTCCCATCCACGTCCCGCCTGGCACACACAACGCCTGACACCCCTGCAGTGGGTGCTGACACCCCTGGAGCCCTGGCTGTCCCTCTGCTGCCAGCCCTGTGGGGACCCCAGGTGCCTCCTCTCCTGTGGGGTCACCCCACTGTGGTGGATGGCATCATGCTGGGGGACCTCAGGGTTGCCTCTTGGGTGGCTGTGGTCCCTCAGCTCTGGGAAGGTCACCCAGCCCAGATGGGACCCACGCAGCACGCTCTGGAGAGCCATGGAGATGGGGACAAGGGATGGGCTGTCCCCAAGGTGGGTGACATCACCCCGGGGACGGCCCAGAGCAAGGAGGACAGTGGTCAGTGCTCACCTGGCTGCAGGCCAAGGGGGCCGAGTCCCCCAAGTCCTCCGACCCCCCCAAGTCCTCCGACCCCTAGAAAGAGAAGCGGGGTGAGGTGGGGGTGGCCAGGCCCGGAGGGACAGAGGAGTCCCTGTGGCACCATGGGGATGGGAGAACAGCCCGGGGATGGGCACAGGGATGGGTGACAAATGTCCTCCATCCCATCCCTTCTGCCTCACCCACCCCCCATCCTGCCAGGCCACAAGGGGACAGAACCAAAATGTTTATGGCTGAGGAATGAGTCCCCGGGTCTCTGGCCAGCGCTGCCTTCCAACATCTGGGGCTCATCAGGCCTCGCTCCCTCCAGGCGCAAATTCCGGAGCCGCTGGCTCCGGGCGCGGACACCGCTCCGGCTGGGCCCTGCAGCCGCCCCGCGTTTGGTTTTAATTACGCCGAAATAAAGGGCCTTGTTTTTCTTTCCACGAGCTGAAATCCGAGCAAACGGAGGCTGTCAGCCCCCGCCTCGGGCTGCAGCTCCCACTGCGCAGCCAGAACGACTCGGGGGGTCGGGGGCACAGCGGGGACCCCTGCCCCGGGCAGAGCGGGGAGCCCTGGGGTGGGCACGGAGCAGACCCCGGGGTCTGCATCTCCCCATGGGGATCAAGGCACCGGGCAGAGAGTGCCAGGACAAGGGGGAGTGGTTTGAACCGAAAGAGGAGAGATTTAGATTCGATGTTAGGAGGAAATGCTCTGTTCTGGAGGTGGTGAGGCCCTGGCACAGGGTGCCCAGAGCAGCTGTGGCTGCCCCTGGATCTCTGGCAGTGCCCAAGGCTGGGTTGAATGGGGCCTGGAGAACCCTGGGACAGTGGAAGGTGTCCCTGCCCATGGCAGGGGGTGGAACTGGACAAGCTTTAAGGTCCCTTCCAACTCAGGCCATTCTATGATTTCATGATTTCCCTTGGCCCCAGCTCTTGCATGCTCAGGCCCTGCTGCCCCAGGCTCTGTGCCCTCCAGCTGTGCATCCTCCTGCCAGCATCTCCCCTCTCTCCTGGTGATGTCCCCTCTCCCCAGCGTTCCTAGGCCAGGCAAAGGCCAGCACGGGCTGCAGGAGCCTCTGCAAAAGCTGCTTGGCCCCGATGGCAGGCAGGTGGAGGCACTGCCAGCTCCCCACCAGGACACTGGATCCTGCTTTGCATCTGCTCCCGCAGCTCTGGCGTAGCTTTCCAGGCAGGAAGCGCTCCCAAAGGGTGCTTTGGGAGGCTGGGGGCAGGGGCAGTGCCGAAGCAGGGTGTGGGAGGGAGGCTCCAGTGGCAGGATTAGTGTGGCGGGGCAGGCTGGGTGTGCCTTGGCCAGCTGGGGTCCCCCTTGGCCACGGGGAAGCAGCGTGGGGGCGGCAGTGGCTGGGAAATCCCAGCCGCTGGCATGCCTGGAGGTGCTGAGAGCCAGGGAAAGGCTTCTTACCTGGTTTGGGAGGTTTCCCTGCAGCCCCGAGTCCTAGGGGAGAGCGAGTGGAGGGAGAGGGGTCAGAGCTCTCCTCCCTCCGAGCGTGCCAGGCAGGGCACACCTGGGACAGGGCGAGCCTGGTGGCAGGCTCCCTGCCCAAACAAGGCAGATCTGCTGGGCATCCCGCCCCTCTCCCCAGCCCAGCACAGCCTGTCAGGGGGTCCCAGCACTCACCTGCTCCCAAACCTCCAACTCCAGCACCTGCGAGCAAGGGCACAGTCTGAGCACCGCCCCAGGAGCACCCAGCACCCACCCAGGCTCCTGAGAGTCCCTGGAGAGGTGGGGAGGCTCACACGGGTGTCAGGGGGTGGGCCATCCCCCCGGCATGTCCCCAGGATTTTGACTGAAGGCCTGGGGGCAGGCTGTGACCTCTGAGCACCTCCTGTGGCCAGTCCTGGGCTAGGTAGGGGTCCCCAGGGTAAGCCTGGCACTGCCACCCAGTCGTGTCCCCACACCCTGGAGCTGATGCTGAGTCCGTGCTGAGCAGCCAGACAAGATGTCCCCATGTCACCTGATCCTGCCTGGCAGGTCCCCAGCCTTCCACGCTGTCTCAAAGGCATTCAAGGACCCCGGCAGGCACCTGAGCATCCTTGCAGACAGGGTGATCCCCCTCCCAATGGTGCCTGAGCTCCCTTACCTGGGAAAAAACCTCCTCCTGGGACTCCCCCTCCCGGGATAGCACCAGGAACCCCTGCAAGAGAAGACCCCTGGTTAGAATCCCCCCAGAGGTCGCAGGCAGGGGGGCAGGGGGCTCTCCTGGCTCTCCTGCTGCTCCCTGCGGAGGAGTTGGGATGTGGAGCTCGAGGGCAGGTCCCTGCCTTGCCCTGCATCCCTGTTTGGTGACAGTGGTGGCAGAGCTCAGAGGTGCCCCAGCAGCACCTGGCCTGCGTGGGAAGGAGGAGGGGACACGGGCTGGCTGCTGTCCAGCTCTGCTGCCAGCTCCTGCCCCATGCCACAGCCAGGGCTGTCCCCATCCCCTCCAGCCTCATCTGCCTCTGGGGGGGTGTCTGGGCACGGCCAGGGCTGTGGGGCTGTCCCAGTCCATCCCCACAGCCCCTGACAGTCCTAAGCCATGCCTGAGCATCTTCTGGGGCTGCCCCAGGATCCTTGGATGTGTCCTGTCTGCAGAGGTGCCAATGGCAAAGGGCAGCTCAGGACTGAGGTGACACTGCTGAGACCCATGGAACCTCGCTGTGTCCCTCTGCCTGTCTGTGTGGCACTGAGGTCACCACCCAGGTACCAGCACTTCCCAGGGCATCTCAGCTCATGCTCAGAGCCGCAGGAAGGTGCTTTTGGCTGTTCTGTACGCTGGCAGTGGCTGCAGGCCACCAGGCTGCCACCCCAGCTGCACCGGGGCCGTGGGTGGGCTGGGGACACGAGGGGCTGCAGGGCAGGAGGAAGCTCCTCTTCTGGCAGCGGGAGAGGGGCCGTGGTGGGGTTTGCAGGACACAGCAAGGCAGGGGGGTGCCAGGAGGCTGTGGGGGGCTGCCGTGGCCGCAGTCCCCGTGGGGAGCTGCAGCCAGCCCTGCTGCCTGCGCTGCCACAGGGGATGGGCTTCAGGGGGCACAGCTGGGACCTGAGGACCCGCAGCGGCCTCTCCAGGCCCGGGAGGTGGGTGTGTGCAGTGGCACAGCCCTGGCAGCACCGCCACGGGCTGTACAAAGCCCAGGGGCTGGGCAGGGCAGTGCCAGCACCGTGGGGGACAAGCAGCTGGCGGGGTTGGCACCACACAGCAGAGCACATTGTGCTGCACATCTCCATCACAGATGTGCGGCAAACTCTGGGGAGCATCCCCTGCACTGTGCCCCACCAGTGGCAGGGGAGAGGGTGTCCCTTGGGCTCTGCTCACGTGTCCTTTCCACCCTGGGCACCCAGAGATGCCCAGTCCCTCACAGGGATGCACCAGGGTGTCGGGACACACCCGTGGGTGACAGGAGATGTTGGGACGCTCGGTGACAGGACAGGACATCAGCAAGGATTAGCAGCAGCAGAGGGAGGAGCCGTGCCAGGAGCCGTCACACAGCCCCAGGCCTGTGTCCCCTCCCGAGGTGCCGCCGGTGTCCCTTGGACAGGAGGGGACGCGTGCTCAGCCCTCTGGCTGGGCTCCGGAGCAGCTCCTTCTCCCGGCCAGGGCTGACAGATCGGCTCCTTCTCCCGGCCAGGGGTGACAGATCGGCTCCTTCTCCCGGCACATTCCCCGCCCACACCACCCCCCCACCGCCTGGAAAAACACAACTCCAGCTCCTCCTGCCTTATTTCCCAGCAAACTCCAAGCGCCATTTGTCCCTCCCAGCCCCGCTGCCGCGGGGAGCCACTGCCAGGGACAGTGGCACTGCCAGGGACCCTCTGGCACAGCCAGGGACTGTCCCCCCCTGGAAGGGATGCTCAGCCCCCATCATCCTCCCCAGCCTCAGACTCCAAAGCCAGGCGAGGTCCCTGGTGCTGGGGTGACAACGGGGGACCCGGACTGACCTCCCCTACCCTCTGTCACCCTGTGCCAGTGCTGGAGACTCCCAAGGAAGCTGGGACAAGGACTTCTCACAGCATCGCTATGGTGTGGGGAGCACACAAATGTCCAGGTGTCACCTGCCTACAGTCCCCACTGCCAAACTCATCCCTTTTTCACCATCACCACCCTCCCGGGGCACCCAGGCTCCTGCCAGGAGGGTCCCACTGTGGTGAGGCTGTCACTGCCCCCTCCCCAGGCACCATCCCAGAGACAGGGCTCCGTGCCTGGACACATTCGGGAAGGTTGCAGAGGTTGATCTGCTGTTCCTTGCCCAGATCAGGAGGTGGGTGGGGGGCAGGTGGTGGTGCCATGTGGCTTTGGGGGGATAAACCTTTCCCTCAGGAGCTCTTCCTGACCAGCTCTGCTGCTGGGCACGGCCGGATCTGCACTGCCCTGGATGTTTCTTCATGAGCTGCTCCCTCAGAACCCATCTCGGGGCTGTTCCTTGGTGCAGGCACTGCTGGGGGGGTCTCTCCAGATCCCCCCAGCATCTCCAGTCCCTCCCCCTGGCAGCACCAGCGAACACCGAGGTGTTGGTGACAGCCTGCACACTGGTGACACCGTGACCACACTGGGCTCTCCCATCACTCTCTGGCCATCTCTGTCCTTGCCCAGCCTCAGGGCCAGCAGCCCCCAGCCCAGTTTGGGGTCTGTGTGCCCCTATTTGTCCTCTGCACTCATTCCCTTGGCACATCAGGGAAGGGGAGACTGAGTCAGCAGCTTCCCAGCGCTGAAGGAGCTCCATGCTGCCTCTGCTCTCAGCCTGCCAGGACCCTGGGAAGGGGATTTTCCTGGGCTCCCAGCCTGTCTCCTGGGCTGGGCTGGCTGTAAGCCTGCATCCCACCCCAGGGATGGCTTCTCAATCCAGGGGCCAGAGAACTTGCAGCCACTCGTGCAGCCCCAGCTGTGAGCCGTGGAGGTGCTTAGGATCTGCTGTGGAGTCTCCTTGTTTATGGGAATGGGACTTTTCCCCCCACAGGTGTGGATATCCATGCTGTTCTGCTGCCAGAGCTGCTTCCGATCCTGGCTGGATCGGCTGCATCATTTTTATCTGCTTGCAGCTCCCTTCCCAAGCCAGAAATGCAGAGGATTTCTCTATTCCATAGGTTTGGAGACTGAGACCAGGATGGAGAATCCAGCACAGGACACCCTGATGCCTCACCCCCCTCTGCGCCCGTGGGCACCCGCTGCTGGAGGAGCCTCAGTGCAAAACCACCAGCATTTCCCCTCTTCCCTCACTCCTGTTTTCTTTTTCTTGGGAGAAAGTTATGGAAACATTCAGTCTCCAAGCGACTTTGAAGCTGTGCTGCATCCCGGGCCGAGCTTGCTGGTAGCAGCTGGGGGGGAGCGGGGGGGCTGCTGCCGGGGCCTGGCTCCTCTCCAGCTCCCCTGAAGCTCCAGCTTTCATCTCCGAGCGCTGGTGGAGCTGCCAGCTGCGAGGGGAGGGAGCAGCCCCGCCGGCCAGGGTCTGCTGGGAGGGGAGATGCCATCCCAGCCCCACCCTGGGGACCCTGGCTGTCCTCGGAGGGTCCCCACAGCCCCAGTGCCTGCCCCTCTGCACCCACCCGAGCTGCTCCCCATGGGCCCAGAGCCTGCAGGGCTGGGACCTCCCCAGGGCCCCTCTTGACCCTCCTGGGGGTGTCAGTGCTGAGGGATCCCCAGTGCTGCACACAGGAAGCACTGAGGGATGGGTGGAAGCACTGAGGGATGGATGCCCTGCTCCAGATGCTGAGACAGGCTGCCCTTGGCACCTCTAGGGAATCACGGCACCTCCCCCCTGCAGTGACCTGTGTCCAGCTGTGCAGATCCCCACGGTACCAGCACAGCTCTGCTCCCCAGGCGTAGATCCCCAGGGGCTGATCCTGACCTGCTGCTGGGGGTTTCCTGAGTGCTGCCAGCTCAGCCCATTGGCACTTCTCTGAGGTGACAGCCTGGGTATGAATCCCTCAACCCTGGGATGTCCAGGAGATTTTGAGCAGTCAGTGCTGGAGGACATGGCCCTGACCATTCCCAGAACTCCGAGATCCATGCCACCATGCCTCTGTGCCAGCTCTGTCCCCAAAGGCTGGCTTGCCAGGAGCAGGGGTGAGGCACCAGAGGCACTGCTCAGCCCTCCATGGGAGAGACTTCTCCCATGTCCCACTAGCACTGGGACCATCTCCAGGGTCAGCTCACCTCTTCTGTGAGCTGCTTCCCAAACCAGCAAACACGCCCGGGCACTGAGCCGGGGCCCAGAGCGAGGCCAACAGAACCAAACTGCTCGGGAACTGCTGCAGGATCTCACCCAGGGTCCAAATTCCTCCAGAGACAGTCCCAGGTGGCCATGGCTTGAAGGATCAGAACAAAGCCAGCCTGCAGCAGCAAGCCACATCTCTCTCACTGCCAAAGGTGGAGTGTGCCCAGGACTGAGCACGTCCCATCCAGCACCCTGAGCAGGATTAGGCACCAACAGCAGCTCAACTTCCCAGGCAGCTCCAGGCTCTGGGGTCCCACTGCCTGTGCAGCCAGGGCCAGCCAACTTGAGCTTGGGGTCCGTGAGCTGCAGGGCACAGGGAGATGGAGCTGCTCAGGGCTATGCCCTTGGTGACAGGTGGCCCAGCCTGTGGCTGCCCTGGTGTTCATCCTGCCCTGGCATTGCCCACAGCATCCTGCCTGCTCTCATCCTCCAGTCCTCAATCCTCTCTGTCCAA